TTCTTCACAATCATATTAATATGAGAAACATAGGTGAGCTTCGTGTCTAACATAACACCTTGATCTCTCATTTCACCTACTTCTGTGAGCATGAATTTTTCTATACCTATCTATATTAACTATCTCGGACACTCTTCTCACAACACGAAATATACAATGTATAAATATCAACATAGTCAAAGACCTAACCGACAAAAATATCTGGGTTTGATAAACCTACATAAATCTTCCGTCCAACTGAATACGAAAACACTTTAAACGTACTCGTAAACGTCATGTTTTAGATCCACACATTTTAAAATGAATATTCTTTGCTTTGTGTCAAAGTTTGCTTATTAATTGTATCAGTCGTGGGTGGTGCGTCTAAAACTTCCTTTATTAAAATTGAACGTTTCAAAGAGCCCTCTTAACAGTATAGCCTTTCACCTTTTCTGTAAACCTTGAACCTTTAAACCTTTTCCGTACTCTAGCATTCTTTATGAATACTCTCAGGAATGAATAGCCAATATTTATTCTTTATTCGATAGAAAAAGTTAACAACAAAACATTATATAAATAAAGAACAAGTCAAAATTATTATTAGCGAATGGCTTATCATAAACACTCACCAAAACACATACTCGTACCATCTATACATATTAACCCTAGGTCGGTCGCGCTAGTTTTTGTAACTTCGTCGGTCGCATGGGGTCTTTGAAAGCCCTGTTTTATTTTTATGTTTTTAATGTAATTACTTCGTATATTCTTAATTTTTATTTATATATTAACAAGGTATTAAGGTGTATTTTGAAATAAAAGCATGATAATCCTTTTAATATTTATTACTTTACAACAGTCTTAATCACGCTAAAGAAAGACATTTTTGGGTCATTTTTGGCAACGTTAGCTTAAACTGATACAAAATCTATAATTATTATCTTTTATTTTTGAAATCAACACAAACTATCAAAACAAAGATTTATGTTAATGAGATCACAAAAAAAATATAAAAATATTATAATATATTAGTGAATTTTTACACCTCATTTCGCTCTTCCGAACAGCTTGACCAAACTGAGGCTGCATGTCTCGGACATATGTTCTGGCGACATGAATAGCATACTGTAGAATATTTCCTATCAATGTATCGCGGACAATATGCACATCTCTTTCTGGTCATTTGAGGCTGATTTTCAGATTGAATTTGCAGGATATCCGTACCAACGAAACGCTTTATGTGCTGCCGGAGCGTTCTGGGGAGGGTGTTTAGTGTGCTACTGTATTTGATGTAATCATCAAAAAGTTGAAATGCTAATGTTATGAGGTATTGTTTTCTAGGCGTGGTCCCATTTGGCTGATTACATGATTAAAACATGATTAACACTACTTTTACGGATTTTGTCGCGTTTATTTTTACTTTTTATTTTTAATTCCCGACGTTTCGGGCGCTTTCCAGCACCCATGGTCACGAGGGACTGAGATGACTGACGTCCCGATGTCATTGTTAAACCCGGAGTACCTTCAGCTTTTTTAATTGTTGTTTATGGTCCGATCTATGCAAAATGAACTGACTATGTCCTGAGGTCTTGCAGTGGTATGCTTGGGTTTAGTTTTAATTTTATTGATTATAGGATCCCAAGCAGGTGGTAGTACCCAGCCTCCTTCTCTATTGAAATTAGGATGTTTTTTAATTTCAATAGCCTCACGTATCATCCTTGGTAGGAATCGGTGTTCTTTCGCGAGGATTTGTGGTCTATCAAATCTGATGTAATGGTTGGGGCCGTCTAGGATATGATCACAAACTGCAGACTTCCCGGAACGTTGATGCTTCACATCAGCTATATGTTCTTTTACGCGGGTCCTAATTGATTATGATTACATGCTAATATTATCTGTGAATTGATTCCAGCAATATCCATCAGCGTAAAAAAATTCTCAGAGGCCATCTGCAGCACATTCTTGCAACTGAATAGTTTTTTTTGAGTCTGTCCACAACTTCTACACCTCCTTTTGGGATGTTGTAAAACTCAATAATTTCAGGCTTTATCCGAGCTGAGTTAGAGTTTACGACACTGTCATGGTGCAGCGTTGACAACAGTAGAACGATTTTATTCTTTTTTGTACAGTAAGACACTAAAGTGTTTTGATCTTTACCAAATGCAAAAAGTGACGAACACACTTCCCTATTTTTGGTTTTCAACTGATCAGGAATTTCAGGTTTATTTTTTCTAATGGTTCCGACAATAGTAAGTTTATGATCTTTTAGTAATTCTCTGGCTAAAGAGACACTAGTGAACCATCCATGGTGACGTTGCGGTTCGTTCTTGAAATTGGTTCTATTAGTCTCTTCACCAGAGCATTTGTTGAAGTGTTTACAAACATTGGTCCTTCAGGTTGCTTTCCAACATAAATCTCCATATTGGATGTGTAATAATTTCGGGCATCTACCATAGCAAATATTTTTATTCCATATTTGTCAGGCTTATTAGGCAAATACTGCCTAAATGAACATCTTCCTCGAAAAGACTCCAGCATTTCGTCTATTGTGATATATTCACCAGTGCTGAAACTTTCTTTGCATTTCTGAACAAATTTTTCAAAGACAAACCTGATTGGTGCCAACTTTTCAATTTGCAGTCTTTCTTGCCGTGTTACAATGCTGTCAAACCTTAAACTAGAGCAAAGATCAAATCTCTGTAGCGACATTACCGCCCTCGCAATGTCTATACCTGTCCCATCCGCTGAGAAAACCTCTTCGATTTTTACATGGCAGGACTTCTGTATACCAATAAGGTATAATAACCCTAGTAATGCTCTTATCTCCGGTATATTTGTCGGTTGAGCATCTCGTGACCTTTCATATTTATCCTGAAGAGTCTGAATTTTTTCATTAGTATATTGAACAATATTATTCAGTACATCTATGGGAAAAAATAAACTCCATGCCTCCAAAGGGGTGTTGCAATCATGACCTATATATCGTGGTCCCGGCAAATGCGATATTATATTATGCTGTCGGGTTCTAACTGAGGGATTGGGAGCAGTTTCTTCCAGCGATATATCGTTTCGGTATTTCCATTGCGTAGTTTCCGACGAACAACATAATGGTTCGATGTTCTTAGTTGGGCGAGTGGAATATTATCTTCATCATCGTCGTCAGAATCGAGTTCTTCGGGCAGTTCAGGATCCGATATACCGTCTTCCTCAGAGTCGATTTCATGAGAACTTTCTTCAATAACATCAGGTCCATAATCAGAATTCTCACCATCTGATGTTTCATCGATCGGAACATCCACACTATCTTCAGACTCTTCTTCTAGCCATCGAACTATCTGTTGTTCTTTAAAATGTTCCATTTTCGGCTATATATAACATATATATGTGTCTTCCATCAAATAAGAAAAAGCTTACACGATCGGTCGCGTGGGGTCTTTCGAAGTCCGCGCGCAAAACAAACGTCTATCATGGACAAGCGCAGAGCGATAACTGAGTGGTAATTGCACTATTTTTTTACGTATTTTTTAGGAAGCTACTATAAAGCATAAGTTTATACCTTAACTATTAACAAAAAAATGCCAGTTTTTCCAAACCCCTTGCTTTCAAAGACTCCATGCGACCGACCTAGGGTTAATGACATTGAATTTTAAGTCCCTAATAATGAAATAACTGCCTTTTATTGAACTGAAGCGGATGTTTGCATATCAGTAAACATGAAGTAGCAGGACAGATAGAAAGCAATTTCAGGAGTGATCTAGCCTATATCTTATCTGAAAAACATCGAGAACGATTATCTTAAATCTAAATATATTCTACCCAGGCAAGTTAAAGCGGGTTGCTTGTTTGTAAATAAACTATTATTATTATGGGGCATCAATACACCTCACTCACCTGGTTGGACTGTATAAGAATATAAATATGATTACTTATGTATAGTAAGTTTTCAGTTTGCTATCTTAAAACATAAACCTTCATACAAAATATACGAGATTACTTATTGTAGTTTTAATCCTCATCTGAATGTATAACAAAGAATAGGATTTGAATCTTGCAGAGGGTGCGTTTGGCAGAAAAAAGCGCTAGCAAGCGCTTGTAAACAAAATGGCTATCGTAAGCGGTAAGCGCTCTCAAATCGTACGTAGCTATTTTCCTCTAGGACACGAAGTCAGTTTTAACCGGGGAACCTAACCTAATTTAAATATATGTTTGTAAAGTATTCATATTAAAAACTTACCAATCATGAACTTTTAATAACATCTATATGTCTATTCATGTCAATATATTACTTAAAACTAATTTTGCAAAGAAAACTTATAAACTCTACTTCAAAACAAACAAATTAAATAAGCAAAATGGCGGATTGTGTCAGCGCTACTAAAGTAGCAATCGTGTCCTGGCCGAAAACTATTTCAACGCTTGTAAGCGCTTGATAGCGCTTTTTTCTGCCAAACGCACCCAGAGTAACTTATTCAAATACGGCACTAAATTAGAGGGTAGGGAACAATTACGACTTATGAAATAGAAATGGCTTGAGGAATGGCAAACTTTTGAGCACGTAATATATATATATATATTTTTTTATTATCTCTTCACGTAATATATATTTTCTTATTCCTTTTATTGCCTATTGAAAACAACACAGCCTGACAACACAGTAAATTTGCCCTATTTTAATAAAAAAGTAAAGCTAAAGACCTTTATCTTTTTGATTCTGTTTTCAGTAAACTTTTTAGGAAAAACAAAAGATAATAAACAATGTCCCTGTCCAGAAAGTTTTTTCCCGGAAGGGAAATAGAAAAGTATTGAAATGTTCATATTGGACAGTGAAAGGGTTCACTTGTAGTAATGTGAGACTCAGTGTAATCATAAACATCAGTAGACTTAACTATAACTTATTAAGTCAACAATAAATGACAATTATTGTGATATAAAAATCAGCAAATAGTATAATACATACATATATAAGGACATTGTTAATAGTCTCGCCGGAAGTGCTACTTACTACGGAAAAAAGCATTTATTACCTTTAAGCCTCTGACTTCAATGACAGTAACGGAAAGGCGGTTAAGGTTTTCGTTATAGAGCAGTGACACATGCACCTCTCCCAAGTCTGACGTAGGTTCTTGTAGTTCCTAGAAAAGCATTGTAATGTTATAATCAATACTTCACACAATTAGTCTCATACGGAAATTAAAACTTCGTTCAAATCATAATATTTTATGTTTAGGATATTCGTTGTAAAATATTAAACTCTCTAAAAAGCTTTTGAGGTATGGTTTGGACTCGTATATAATATATACGCTTGATATCCCCGAGTGGGTTAGCAGAGTCCAAAGAGCAGTGAACTACTCAGACCACGTTAAGCCAAAAATATGGGTTTATATGAAAAAAATTTGAAAGAATTGATATATGGGTAGTCTTTAACACATCCAATATCCCAATAGTCGCCTTTTATGACATAGTAGGCAAGTTACCATCTCGTATAAAATAAAAGAATAAATTCCTGTTTCACAATAAGTAATTAAATTTATACTTTTTAAACTTTTTTCAATTCATAATGCAACAAACTCATGTAAATAAAATGTATTTTATCTTTTTATAAATAAGTATATTAAAATTCCTTTATTATTTTTTTATTCTATTATCGTTATAGGACATGATAATTCTTAAGAAAGCTTTGTATAAGTGGAGCTTGTGTCTTAGGGACAGTTTGCTCTTCCTGTTAACTAGCGGGTGAAGGCGACTAGTGACGAATTTGGCATGGTTGCGGACGGTGCGAATTAAAAGTATTTCGCGAATGTCATGGAGTGGTTGATTGCGACCTCAAGGTATTTGGTGGTTGATTGCCGCGAGATCTGGAGGCCGAATAGGGTGATCGTACCTAGAGAACTTTTCGGATTTAGATTCCAACGACTGAGGGATAGTTTCCTTTGAAAGTATATTGCTATACTTTTTTCAAGGTTTACTTCGATTCTCCATAAGTGAAACCATTCGCCTAAGTGATTGGCGACTCTTTGAAGTATCGTTGTAAAAAATTGCTTGCTGAAATGGGTGACATAAAGTACCGTGTCGTCTGCAAAGATAGCGGTGTGGACTACTGTGTCCTTCGGGATGGGTCTCGTATGGAGTGTGAGCGTCACTGACTCATGATTTTATACCTCGCAGTGTCATTTTACTGGCTTCAAATTATAATCTACATTTGCATTTATTTATAGCGTTCACGGTGCTCTCTTTTTGAAAATATACATTGTACTGGTATACCAGAGTGAATATATTTTTTTATATTCTATCATTTCATCATCATTCGATATTAACAAAATAAAATGAAGTCAGACGCAATATCGACATTCTTTAAAGAAGAAAAAACAAAAATTTGACGTACCTTCTCAATGTCCAGTTTATATAATTGAGGCTCTTCATCAGATGCAACCCCTTCAAGTTCACTAAGAGGCAGTATGATATGTCCGATAAGTTGTTTGAATTTACCAATAAGACCAGCATCTAATACCGATAACTTCAATGTCAATGTCTCTAACTTTTCCGGTGGTATCTAAGTAAATGAAATATTTAAATATAAGTAAAACAAATCACTGAGAGACTGAGACAATTACCAACAATAATGTTGAGTAAAAATAGCTTTTGATATAAATTAGATTAATTTAACTTACTTGATAGACGAAGGTCTCATCAAAGAATGGATTGCATGACTTCTTTTTTTGTTTCGTTTGCAGCACTCTTCTTTCATCAGGCATAAGTTGAATTCTACAAAGGTCAAAATCAAATCGAAAACATTTATTTAAATTATTTGTTACATACTTAGCTGCTCATTATTAAAATTATTTCATTTTCTATTAAGAGTTATTTTGTCCTCACTCTATTATGTTAGACAAATAGGTTAAATATTAGAGAAAAAATTAAATTACTATAAAATTTAAACACTTTTATTGCCATTTTCAGAAATAAGCATTCAATGCACTTAATAGTAAGATGCTGTGGCCAACATACATCTATTATTAACTTAGAATCAAAACGCAGATGTGTTGTAACTCTAGGATTACAGTAAAATACCTTGTTACCAGTTATTTCACGTTAATATTTCGAGTTAGCGCGGTTCCTACCTGATCTAAATCCATTCGTGGTGCAGCCGTAACCGCCGTAGCGTAGATGTTCTGCTTAGACTTATGGTGGGCAGTAATGATGGTCATGATGACGATGAAATCTTAGATTTTGTTATAAAAATGAAATGGAATTTTATTATTAAGGCATGTAAACCTTTGCTTTGTATGAAAAAATATCACAAAGATTAATTATCAAAATAGCAACGTTATTGACCTTTTTTAACTTACTTTATATAGGGATCACATGCATTCGCCAACGCCGGTGTACGTGATGGTAAGTGTTTCGCCTTAATTATGTGTATTTGAAGTCTTTCAGTGGCCGATTCATATTTAAGCGTAAACCACACCCGTCCCTAGTAAACACAAAGCTCATTGAAGTCATTTATTAGATAAAGATAATTTTCTTAGTCATAACTATTACATTATAACCTAAAACTATAAACGTTTGATTAGGAAGTGAAAAGTCCATATTATATCCTTTTCTATTTATTTCTTACAACACTCTAGCAAAGAATTTATCCCTATTCAGAAATTGCTGTTTCCATCAGCCGATAAAAGTGTTTAACGAGTACAGATATTGACATAAGTTAGATCGAAAAGTCTCAAAATATATAACGTTATATCCAGTGACTGACGAAACACAACCCTACGGTTTTCTTAGAAGCTCGAAAGAAAACTAAAGTGACTGACTTCTTGTTATCTTGATGTTCCCAAGGTATCCATGGCTGGTTTGTCGTAATATCTCCATCAGGCAATAATGAGGCAAACCAACTCACCCTGTTCGCAATCATGATGATTTCACTAGGTTTTGTCTACAACAAGCAAACCTTTGCGCACTTTATAACAATTATATCAACATTTTTGAAATAGTTGTTATAGAGGTTTGATTTTGTGCACTCATAAGTGATTACTATTTTTGTAAATTTTTGAATTTCATTTGATATTATGGCGTTATTTAATAGTAAAAGTCGTAACTTCGAGCATTCAAAGTACGAAAAATCCCGTTGTTGCATTTCAATTTTTTGAATCTATTATTTAAAAATTAATAATAATTTTGTTTGTAAACTTTTAGTTTAAAGATATATAGTTTGTAGTAGTCTGAAACATTCAAATTACTTAAGCGATCAATTGAATATGAAACAAGACATTTATTGTGGTGGTTATGTAACCAGTTTGAAGAACGATAATTTAGTTATCACAATAGAGTATATTTATAATGAGTAATAGTCACATGAATAATGGTTACGATTTGGAAGTTTTGTATGTAAACTGCTACACAATAAAAGAACCAGAGCGAATGGTATAGCTATAACGCAAGATTACAGCTTTTTAATTACTTAATTTCAATATCAGAAACTTAAGCAAAATCTTTATTAACCCTAGAACCGTACCCTGGGGTACAACTGAAAAAATATTTTTAAAATTGGCTATAACTTTTTTGTTTTAAAACGGATCTTTTCGCACCGGCGCGTATTTATGGGGGACGGGGGGTTGTGTCGAAGCATCAGTCGGGCGCGAGTTCTGTAAGCGTGCGATCGTGGCAACGCGTGTGTGGGGTACTCCAGTACCCCTGGGTACAGTTAAGGTAATTATATTAGTTACTAATTGCTGGATGTTTTTTATGAAATAAGCTATGCTATTTTTTTGTTTGATTCATGATTTTAATTTTAACATTGCAATATTACCTTAGAAGTAACTTTGTCTGCATACGATGTGTTTGTACTTAATATTTATTTGCAATATTTATACAATTTTATTTACGTTATTTTGTTTAGTAACGAATTTTTTGTAATTCTTCTTTTTAGATGACGTCAAGAAAAAACCTTTCAGAAAATGAAATTCAAAACCTCCTTCTGGACGTTCGTGATGAAGATGAAGTGTTTCTTGGGGATGAATTAGAAGATGAACTGGATGAAATTATTCCCGATTTTCGCGATGAACAGGTTCCTGTCGAAGAGGATGGCTCTAACCATGAAACAGATCTTGAAAGTTCGGAAGAAGAAATTGAAGAGGATATTGTCCAGGTTAGAATCACAAATTCTCCAGTAACAGTTCTTACAGTACCCGAAGTTTTGCGAGGTAAAGGAACAAAAAAGCAAAGAACTAGCGAAAAATTTCTATGGTATGGGACTCATCGCCGTTCCTCGCGTACTCCACAAAGAAATATAATATTTCATGCACCAGGAAATAAAGCTCTTGCTAAATTTACTACCAGTGCCTTAGATAGTTGGAAATTATTTTTTACGGATGAGATTTTGCATATGATAGTAACTAATACTAATCTTGAGATATCTGAACAGCGCAAGAAGTATAAGTCAGACAGGCCAATAGCATCTCAAAATAATGATGATGATGATAATTCTGTTCCTACGAGTATTCGACCTTCTTTTGTCCGAGATGTAACCGTAACCGAATTAAAAGCTCTCTTTGGCTTATACTATTTAGCTGGAGTTTTAAAAATTAATCACTTGTCTGTCAAAGAAATATTTGATAAAAATACGGGCATCAACTATTTTCGGTCTACTATGAGTGAGAAAAGATTCGAATTTTTGACAAATTGTCTTCGATTTGATGATCGTTCGACCAGAGCTGAAAGAAGACAACATAGTAAATTGGCACCAATAAAAGAACTGTTCGATCACATTGTTGAAACTTCAAAAAGTCTTTATTCACCTTCAGATTGCACAACGATTGACGAGCAATTACTTGGGTTTCGCGGTAGATGCCCATTCCGTATGTACATTCCATCAAAACCCGATAAATATGGAATAAAACTGTTAATGTTTTGTGATGCAAAATCGTATTATATGATAAATAGTATAATATACACTGGAAAAGATTCTACACCACGTGAATTACCAGTGGCTGAGTATTACGCATTGGAGCTTTCAACTTCTATTCATGGGTCTAATAGAAATATCACGTACGATAACTGGTTTACTTCAATCCCTGCTGCCGAAAAACTCTTAACCAAAAATGTTACAACAGTTGGGACAATTAAAAAAAAACAAAACAGAAATCCCTACTCATTTTTTGGAAACCAAAAACCGCCTCAAGAACACATCAATGTTTGCTTTTCATGACGAACTTACTTTGTTATCATATGTGCCTCCAAAGCTAAGTAAAGGAAAAAAGAAAAACGTGATTATGCTTTCTACTATGCACTATCAACCAGACGAAGACAAATCTGTTGATTTACCAGAAATAATAAGTTTTTGTAATCAAACGAAAGGAGGAGTGGACACTTTTGATCTGCTTTGTCATACATACAGTGTTTCTCGCAAAACTCGTCGCTGCAGCCTTTGTGTATTCTACGGAATTTTGAACATTGTGGGAATTAACTCCATGATATTACTGCATTCATCAAAAGCCAATGGTAAACAAGTTTTCAAGAACAGACGGAGTTTTCTGAAGGCCTTAGCTTTTGACCTTATAAAACCTTATTTGGAGGACCGATTTTTATATAAAACTTTGCCTATGCATCTACAAATAAGTATTGGCGGTATTTTAGAAAAAACACGACTTTCTAGTGCTCCATTATCTTCAGATTCAAAATCTGGTAGATGTTCATTTTGTCCCAGGTCAAAATACCGTAAATCACGCACTCGATGTGAAAAAATGTAAAAGTTTTATATGTTTAGAGCACCAAAAAAAGATTTGCCAAAATTGTTAATTTAAGTTTGTTAATTTTTTGTTTAATTATGTAACATGAGACTGAAATAAGTGCCATAAAAGACTATGTATGTTGATTATTCATAAATGTCTATTCTTATGTAAAAAAAATGTTTTATTTAACGGGGTACACTAGAACCCCTGGGTACTGTTATTTAAAGTCTATTATGGGTACGGTTCTAGGGTTAACGTTCTAGCATAAACATTATAAAATTGCTCCGATATTCAGCATCAATAGCAATCCTGTCATCCGTATACTTTGTCCTTTGTCAGTCCGTGATCACTTGCTTAAAATCCCGGAGTAGTGCTAAGAAAATATATATAATTCAACAAGGAACAGCCCAACATTCAGTTCTTAAAACTATGTTAAAAACTTTTTAGATTTCCAACAGATTTTGTTCACAAAATACGCTAATCAGTACGATCAAAATTTTACTCAAACGAAGGGTCTTTCTACATCCCGGATCTACATCCCGGAGTAGTACTACGAAAATATATATAATTCAACAAGGAACAGCCCAACATTCAGTTCTTAAAACTATGTTAAAAACTTTTTAGATTTCCAACAGATTTTGTTCACAAAATACACTAATCAGTACGATCAAAATTTTACTCAAACGAAGAGTCTTTATAATATTATTACCCAAAGTCAAGTCATGTTATGTCAGGCACGCAGACACGCTTATTTACAATATGGAAGTCAGCGACTGTAATATAAAACATTGGTTTGTAAAAAAGCAAAAACAAAAATTGTGTTTTGGCTAGCGTTTTTAATTTAATATAAGCCGTAGAAGTTAGATGTTAACGCTCGCTGTAAATGTAACAGAACGCGAGTAGACGAGGGTTCGATCCCCGCCTGCACCAATGAAATTGTTAATTCCAATTTTAAGTGCTGATTTACCACGTACTCGGCGGTAAAGAAACACATCGTGAGGAAACCTGCATGTCTGAGGAATAAGGAAAAAAATATTTCGAAGACATGTGAAGTTCGCCAACACGCATTGGGGCAGCGCGGCGGACACTTCCTTGCCCTGAAACCCACTCGGAAATGAGGGTAGGCCTGTGCTCAGCAGTGGGATGGTATATAGCTTTTTTAAATTAATAAATAAATTCTCGTTCTTAACATATGCATGCAGCGTTTTACTCTCCTTTATTGGTACTAACAGTATTTATTATTGAATTTTGTGAATAAATAAGCCTACCAAAACTTTAAAACTTACATTGTTAACTAACGGATATTTTATCATCATCATAAATTGTAGTTGTTTTCGATCAAATAAAAAAAAACTTTTTTTGTTTTCATTTTTTTATTTGCTGCATGCCTGGATATTTGCGTCTGGTCCTGTGTTTAACTATATATAACTAATAGGTTCATTATTTATTTACATGACATAATATGTACAATATTTGCAAAAATAATAAAAAATCATAAAGTCTACATGACAAATTTCTTTTCCAATAGTTAGCCTTTGAACCTAAAAAGAAACTGCCGTCCTGCTACCGGAGGCAACGACCAGTTGTAGCTAAAGTTCCTTTAGGAAAAAATAAAAAACAAAAAAGTCTTACCACGTGTCCCTCAGGCCACATATGATCAACGTCCAGGCAGTCAGTTTTGTAAAGCGATGGATCCAGAACGCCTAGGTCCGTTGTGTTAGCTGCATTAAACAAACTTTAAGTTAACCGTCAATGACCTGTAGTTAAAAAAAAGAAAGAACGTCTCATTTCAAGTATATGGGTCTCCGGGTCTCTACAATCACCACATGAAACACAACAGCATTAAGTTGCTATTTTAAGTTGGTATTCTGTACGAGGGTGTTCCTTACCTGTGTGAGCCAACCCATTCGTGCTACATTTGTAGCACGAATGGGTTGGCTATAATTATAGTATGGCTGCGGCGTGGCTGCCATGTATGATGACGTAACGTTCTTAATACATTATGTTTTTGTTAAATTATTCATAAATAGTTTCCATAAACAAAAACATTTTTGTCAATTAGTTATCAATATATACATAATATATCAGGTATTCAAAATGAATCAGATAATAGGCGTGACGTTTCTATACGGAAGAAGGTGTGGCGGTCAATAAACTGGCAGGTGGTCTTACTTAGAATAATGTACGCCAAATTACCCTACAATTTAAAACTCTTATTATTATTTATATATAAATATAGATTACACACACCATTTATTTATTCCAGCATATACGCGCCGATATTTATAAGGTTTCTTTCATCGTTTCTTCTCAATAAGAGAAACCTCATACGGGATTTGATTAAAAAATGAAAATATTAATTTATTAGTTTTCAATGCCCTTTCAACCTTTCCTTTTTGGGTGTACAAACTCACACTCGTATTTATTTGAAAATCGTCTATATAAAGAAAGCCTTATTGAAGTAAATGATATTAAATACATTGAGCAGCATGTTCTCCAGTGGAAGCCTCGTAACGGTTAAGTGTAGGGTAACCACCTACTAGATAGAGTGACGACCTGGTAAGAGATGCAGAAAATCGAAGAATGCAAGTGGCTAAGGACTATTCTTTGTTCCTTTGCAACTGTAAAGATGATAATGATGTTTTATTCAAACCGAAATAGGTAGAGGTCTTATGACGATGTCAAGCAGCGTAAATGAATTCGGTGCTCACTACCACGATTTTGAAGGGGCGTCAAGCTTGTGTGTACGATCCATCACTCTAGGCCAGAGTTCCCCAAACTTTTTTGTGTAGTAGACCCCTTGCCATGTTTTTCCGTGTTGGGAGACCCCCTACTTACCTGATATTGATTTCCTGTAAATTTCTAACTGTAGTGAAGTTTGGTGTTAAGAACTGTAGTAAAGTAAAAACACATGTTAATTTATACATTTATCAATTGAATTTAAATTAAAACTACTCAAAATAAAATTTTGTATCTATTATGTAAAATATACGTAACATTAAATAAAGGGGGATAAGTCGCTCGCGTCCGTAGGCTTCGACCACCTGCTCCTAGGCCCACCCTACACGTGTCCCCCGGGTGGTGGTAAATGAGCGACATGCTGATACCACAAACTCGGCTCCACGCCGTGGTAGCGGTGTTAAATATACCACCCCATTTCACACCATGAGGAATCGAATTAAAGAAATGGCCCCGAGTTCCCGGCGCCCCTTTAATGGGGCAGGGGTGCGAAGAATCTCCGGGAGGAAAACCGGCGACGAGGTTCGCCACCCGTCACGTTCTGTCTCCCGGAGAGGCGAAAAGTGGATTGTAGAGGCCCGTCTGGCTACGTTGAATGTATGTGGGGCATGAATATGGGGGCGAAGAGGAATAGATGTGTTATGCGTAAATGACACGAAAAGGAAGGGGAAAGATGTCACTACACATGGCATGTATACCGCATACTGGTCTGGTGTAGACGAGATCGAGCGGGCATGCCAGGGAGTAGGTATCATCCTTTCAGAAAGAATGGGCCAATGTGTGAAAGAGTATGAATGTGTAAGCCCAAGACTGCTATGGATACGAATGAAAGTGGGCTTAAAGAAGTTGTTTGTGTTAGGGGTCTACGCCCCAGACATGTCTAAGCCCACTTATATCCGAGAGCAGTTTTGGGAAATGGTAAGGATGGTGTTAATGAAGTGTAAGGGAAATGAAAATATTATTGCTAGGAGATTTAAATGGAAGGGTTGGGGTCAGGAGGCTTGGTTATGAAAGGATATTGGGAACGTTTGGTGATGAAAGTATAAATGAGAATGGTGAAAGTCTCCTCACCATATGTATGGAAAAGAATCTTTTTTTGACGAACACTTGCTTTCGCCACAAGAGGATTCACATGTATACTTGGGAAAGAGGTGACGATAGAAGCATGATAGATTTCATAATTGTGGATGAAAGATTGAGGGGCGCAGTGGTAGATACGAGAGTTTACCGGGGTTCTAACGTAGGAATGGATCATTATTTAGTTTTATGCCGAATTAATGGTCTATTCAGGCGTTGGCGCCATCGATCGTTTGTGTCTACCACTGCGTTACAGCGTATTATAACAGAAAGGTTACAAGATGAAAGTGATAAAAACAAGTTCAAATGTAGACTGAAAGAAAATATAAATGGTTTGGATGAATTATGTATGAAGGAGTTAGACTTGGAGAATATATGGCAAAATGTAAAGAAAGGTTTAGTGGATGCAGCTACCGAAGTATGTGGTGTTAGTAAGAGAAGGGAATGAAAGGAAAAATATTACGTTATGGTGGGATGATGAGATACGTATGGAAGTTGAAGCAAAGAAGAGAGCATGGCTAGATTTATTAGCAACAAAGGCTGCTAATTCTAGTGGTACGAATGGTGATATTGAAAGAAAAAAGGCAGTCTTTAGACATCTTAATAAGAGAGTAAAAGAAGTAGTTGAAAAAAAAGCAAGAAAGAACGGATAAGAATGATAGAAGAATATCGGATAACTTCCAGGCAAATATTAAAATGTTCTGGAAACTTGTAAGAACTGCCAGGGGACATTCAAAACAGCCTGTGATGAATGCTATAAGAGACGAGAATGGCTATATTCTGAATGATGAAGTTTTGATTTTAATGAGATGGAAGGAATATTTTGAAAGCGTGTTTATGAGTGAGGAGACAAAGTGTGTACTAAGTGAAGTAGAAACACCGAAAGAAGAGGAAAGAGGTAGCGAGATAAGTATAGATGAAATAATGAAAGCAATGAAAAGCATGAAAGCAGGTAAGGCTGCCGGATATGATAGAGTTTCACTCGAAATGCTAAGGGCTGGAGAGGAAGTGGTGGCAGGCCTGCTGCACACCTTGTTTAATTTATGCTGGGAACTGAAGCGGGTACCGGTAGACTGGTGCAAAGCCGTGATAGTCCCAGTATATAAAGGAAGAGGGTCGCAGCAGGACTGTAAAAACTACCGTGGTATCAGTCTTCTTAGCATTGTGGGAAAACTGTATGCTAAGGTACTGTTTGAAAGGGTCGTGAAAGAAACTGATGGAAAAATTTAGGATGTGCATGCGGGATTTAGAAAGGGAATGGGATGTACAGATCAAGTCTTTTCCATGCGCATGATCGCGGAGAAGTTTCTGGTCAAAAACCAAAAGGTTTTTTGTGCGTTCATGGACTCGGAAAAGGCCTACGACAGAGTGGATAGAGATTTGCTATGGCAAACACTGAACTCATTTGGGTTGAGCGCTGGCTTGATACAGGCATTGGAGTCTCTTTATAGGGACTCTAGTGCTTGTGTTAGGATCAACGGGGTCTACTCGGCCTGGTTTGACATCCATAAAGGTGTCAGACAGGGCTGTGTGGCTTCCCCGTGGCTGTTCAACCTATTTATGGACAGTTGTTTGCAAAATTTGAAAGTTGAAGAACGCGGATTAAGAATGGGTGAGTTAACCGTCAAATTCCTTTTGTACGCCGATGATAATCTTGGTCGTCGGCGGCCGAGTTGCAAATGATGGTTACATTAATGAACGGATCATTAAAAGAAAGGGGTATGAAAGTGAACGCAAGTAAGACGAAGGTTATGGTTTTTGAAAGAGAAGAAAGTAAAACGATTTGTGAAATAAGAATAGAAGGGGAGTTGATCGAGCAAGTAGATGAGTTTGTATATTTGGGCTGCGTATTTAGCAGGGATGGGAGATATGATAAGGATATAGAACGACGAGTGAATGCGGGAAATAGAGTAAATGGGGCCTTGCACTCTATTGTGAAGAGTCAAAATGTGTCGAAAAAGGCACGTATGGCAATTCACAATGCTGTGTTGGTCCCTACTTTAACGTATGTAGTGAAAGTTGGGTGTAGCAGAAGAAGCACGAGAGTAGAATAAACGCAGTAGAATTGCGGTCGTTAAGGCGTATGTTAGGGCTGAATCTGAATGACAGGGTAAGAAATTGTGTAATAAGAGAAGAGTGTGGTTTGCAAGATGATGTTGTGACCAGGATTAAGAAAGGAATGCTTCGGTGGTTTGCTCATGTGGAAAGAATGAATGAGGAAAGAGTGACAAAGAAAATTTATGGTGCAGAAGTGAATGGCGGAGTCGGAAAGGGACGTCCTAGGCGAAAATTTATCGACCAAATTGGCGATTTATTTAAAAAGGGCCAAATTAGGAGTACCATAAACCGACGAGCATGTATGCGTAGGTGTATGGATGTGAAGGAGCCAAGAGAGGTGTGTCAGGATCGTGCCAAATGGAAGTCTGTAGTGTCTGCCTACCCCTCTGGGTGACAGGCGTGAGTGTTTATGTTATGTTATTAAAAAATATAAAATAAACTATAAATCTTTTATAAATAATGTATATGTTTTGATATTATAAGATAGTATGATGTAAGTATATAGGTACTATCAGTGTATGTGTTGAGATCACTATCGTGGACCCCCATTTTCATTTCATGGACCCACAAATTTTTTTTCGCTGACATAGACTCCTTGCAGGTTGTCATAGACCCCTAGGGGTCGATATAGACCACTTTGGGAATCACTGCTCTAGGCATTGAGACGCAACATAATGCGTCTCTATTATTATAGTTATACGTTTTGTGATGGGCAAAGCCCTTACAATAAAATTTTTAATTTATTACATGTATAATTTTATATTTCATTCTTTTTTGTTAATAATGCAAACTTATAACGGTCAATTAATCCCTGCATATTTTCTTGCAATTTGTTTTAAAGAACTACTCACTCTTTGGAGTCAAATAACTGGCAAAACTAGCTCTTGCTTCCTCCTAGTATTTACCGAAAGTTCATCACTATTTTGAATTAAACCATTTTTGTTTTTATTTACATACCTATTATATTTTATTCACTTTTAATTTTCACTTAAACTTTATTAAAAATACCTAAATTAAATTTTCATAAATAATATAATAAGTCTTTATTGAACAAATTATAAAATGTACATTGTGCTACCTCATTTCTCTGCAATTTTAATTCAACAGAAACAATTTAGCAACCTGTTCGAAATTCGAAAGTAAATTTTATTTAGGTATTTCGGCCATCATTACAGTATTTGTAAAGTATTTGCAAACTTACAAAGTCAACAAAACCAGTGACAAATAAGATATACTTAATGACTCATATCTCATAGCATGTAATTATTATCATACTGGAATTAATGTAACAAAATTACATAATAAGTATAAATGATGACCTAATGGTAGGACGCTGACGCCGAACTCTAAAGGTCGTGAATTCGAATCCGCCATTCCACTACTGTCGTTAACCACTCAATCATTTTAGGCTTACCAAGAGTGGTCACAGGGAATATTAGTACCTAATGTAAATAGTATTGCAGATATTTAAAAAAGGTATATAAATTAAGAACGGGGGAAATAAATTTTCATTGCAGATGACTTAAGCCTTTGGATCACGCCTTATAACAGGTTTTGAGGTATATATTGTTTATCACTGGACTCTCAATTTATGATCATGACGTATAACCACTCAAACGTTCATGGCTACTACGCTAGCCAAAACAAAAGTGGCGTTGTACTTCCCGGATAGTGAAGTAGCCTCAGCGTCAAGTTTTATAAAACTGACATCTTGGGACATTTGCGGTAACTTTTGTAAGTTTTGTTTTTTTTGGAATCGATAGCTGACGAACTACTTTATGTATTACAAACGAGATGGCAGTGTAACAAGCCTTAACGAATCAACCGTAATTATTTATTTACCATCAGTCTACTATACTCTCGGTGTTATGTGAACGTGACGTACGCGAGTATTTCTATGACAAACTGACTTTAATAAATCGATGTGAAATTGTGGGAAGGAAAGCCGTAGACTGTGTAGTTTACGGTATTACTGATAAATCAGTTAGGAATGGTGCTCAGGCATTAAGCTGTAGGGACCCAGAAGACTTACTAAATTATCTCAGTTCACAACGGGTCTCTGATTCTTTTCAATTTTCAAAACAGCAATTGGAAAGCACTTCCAGGAATAAGCACGTTAACTCTACTACATCTTCATCTGATAATATCACTTGTTATAATTGTAAGCAAAAAGTGCATAAAGAAAAATTATGTTGCTAAAGATCACAAAATTTACAGGAGAGTTGATGACAAATTGCGTCTCGTAGTTCCCCTAAGTGCACGTTTTCAAAAATGTCTGTTCAATCATGACGATATAGGTCATTTAGGAATAGCAAAGACTACTGAGCGAATCAATCACAATTCTGGTTCCCTAAAATGCGCCGGTTTATAAAAAAAATATGTAGGGTCCTGTTTAGAGTGTGCGTACAATAAGGACAACGCTGCTAAACAAAAAACTGACCATTTGTTTCCTATTGATCGAGTTGAAAAACGAGTACAATACCAATATCAGAATTGATCAAGACAAGCAAAAAAATCGATATGATGCTGGACGGGCTCCCGCCGTAGTTTATAAGGAGGGTGATTTGGTTAAAATAACGGGGACGAATTTTTACAACAAAGGTAAAAGTACCAAACTTTTATCAAAACTTACTGGCCCGTATATTACAGTTAAAACGTTAGGCAACGACAGATATAAGATTGCAGATATTTCGGGATTAAATAAAAAGAAAGTCATTTGAGAACGTCGTTGCTGCTGACAGAATGAGGCCTTGGATAAACCAAAATCTTAGTCACAAACAGACGAGCTTTCTAGTACCGAATCTGCTGAAAGTGATAAAGAAGATATACCTCTGGCCGAGTTGCAGCGACGCAAGCAAATGATTTGAAAAAAAAGAATCTAAAGCTAGGGATCTAGACCGAATGTCATGATTAATTGAACTCGTGTTATAAGATTGTATTATTATTATTTTATTTTGGTTTTCTGTGTGTAATGTCACGATAATAAGAACTAATGTATTAGTTGTTTTATTTCACGAGGGCAGGCAGTGTGACGTTGACATCAAGGTTCAAACTGCAATGATTTGCCTGCCATCGTGAAGTAAAACAAAAATTGGTTGTATGTGCTATTTGGTGATTGAGTAATTTTATTTTATGTTTCTGCATTTGGTTGATCGATTGTAGACCTTAATTGCTAGATAATTATTAAATACCATATATCTTTGTTAATAGTGAGTGTGCACCAGGAGTTGCACTCCGGCGGATGGCCGAATGTCATGATTCAATCTATTTTTCAATACTAAGTTGCTCAAATTAATAGTAATTCCGCTTGTCTCTGATTGGTTGGTTTGAAACTAACAATTCCTACATCTCTCATCTATCACTTTTCTTAACTTGCTTCTGATTGGTGCGCAATCAGAAGCAAGTTAAGAAAAGTGATAGTTTTTATATCTACTCTATGTATTATAGTTAAGTAGCTATGTGGGTTTTATTCTACAATATGCAAGCGCGGTAGCAGCCGAATTAGGGTCGCGCGTATCCGGACGTACAAGAGAGTAAATCAGTCGCGAGAGCTGGATGCTTGAGCGGATAAAATAGGTAATTTATATTTAGCGAAAAATACGGGTAACGTACGGGCAATACGTCATAAAAATTTGCATCATCTATTCAGTTATTTAATGTGAAATATAATCAAATAATATTAAAAAGCTGATCATTAGAAAGGGGTTTAGAGATATAAGTCTGTAATCCATTAAATTTAAAATATTGTTTACTATATTAATTTCAAATTTTATTTTATTTCGCATTTTTTTCTGGTTGCTTGTTTTGACTTATATAAATTTCCCATTTTAAATCTTTAAATTAAACTTGAAGATTTTATTTTCTACATTAATTAATAATAATAATGTCCTCCAGACCGAATTTCGGCCACGGCGGCCGGTCTCAGCGAAAGCTAGCCATCGGCGCAGGACAGGATTATAGTGCCCAAGCGTATGCGCAAGCACTGGTGCACTCTCTATTCCCTTACTCTCATAATCCGATGGGACGGCAAACCTACACGTTCGGAGAGATCAGGCGCAGGACCAACGGCTTTACTTGCTTTTTGAGGCACGGGAGACATCGCCAAATTCCTGACTCCGGGCAACTACTGAGAATTTCTTGACGGAAAAACTCAATAATTAATTTATTTGGTCCGACCCGGGATTCGAACCCAGGACCTCATGATCAGCAGTCGTACGTACTACTACAACCACTAGACCAACGAGGCAGTCTTTTTTATACTATTAATATATTAATAATGTAAGGATTATATAATTATAAAGAAATAAATATAGTACTAATCTGTTCATAAAGTATTATAAAAACTTACTGAAAGAATTCGATCGAAACTGCGTAGGTGTGGGTGGACACAGTATGTCCCCAGCCAGACTCCCATCGCTGACGTCACGCAACTCCCCCAGAGATGACGACCGAAGCGATGGCAGGGTAAAGTTTACCTCTCTCATCCTAAGAAAATATTTTTATTTCAATGTAACAAAATGAAAATATTATTCGGAATAAATATTTTTCATTTAAAAGAAAATTGATGTTCCTTCAATAAAATTTACGCGATAAATATTGTTATGCATTGCACATTATAAGCTATTAATGTTTTTTTCAAATTATTTCACAACTCTTTGTCTATTATGGGATTGGTAAAAATTATTGTTCCTTTTTATTTAAATTCTAAAAAAAACTATAATTTAGTATTTTGAGCCGATCTCATAAAAATGAGGAGCTTTACAATGTAACGCAATATCTTTGTCAATTCTGTACCGATTTAATTTGGCAATAAAACCCCCTAAGGGTGGCAAAATAGTGGCTAAACTTTTTAATAAAACTATTTAGACATTTAGATTGTGATATACCTTTTTCCACTCAAAAGGACAAAAACAATTTTAATATAAACAAAAGCAGAGTTTTTACATTTTGAAGTCAGTGCTTTGGAGGAACTAAACAATGTCTTAGCACCAACTTCATATGATCTTAGCAATCGAGTCTTGGGTATCATGATTCTCACATAATATTATAAGTATTATTATTGACGTATATGATTAACTTGACTTACGTGTAACACTTTGCCGTGACGTCATGCGGAGGGTAGACTAGGATTGGAGGTGATGGTACTAGAGACGGGCTATTTTTCCGGCGACGAGCTACAAAAACTCCAGCCATGACGACTAGCAGAACCACTGCAGCACTTGCTCCGCCAAGAGCAACTAATAACGCCTCTAGAAATTTACTAGATTGTAACACTTCTAGGATATAGATTTTTACAAATGGTTAAAAAATATTCTGTAGGCAATGTTCATGTGTAAATTTGAAAGATAATATATAAGACCTGGAGTCATCCATCAATCCAGTATCACAAATTACGTGGTTTTCTGACCCCTTGAACATTGAAACCGCGTAAATGTAATTTGTGAGAGGTCACAGTTTATGTAAATCGCACAGTTCTACAAAGCTCTATCAAACTAGCAGCGAAAAGTCAGCAGAAAATATTGAAATTTACATAAAAGTTTGTAGCTAAATAGCAGCTATCAACTCCATTCATCCATTACAGTCTATAAAAGTCCACTGATGAACATAGGTTTTCCTCACCGATAGTTGCAAAAAGTTGTTTAAAAATAACTTAATTGATAACTGTTGCTAATTTGTTGTTAATTTTTTTCTAAAATAGAGTAATAAGATAAGAAAAACCAAAAAATTTGCCGTACTCAAGGTCTAACTACATTTACGTAACACATGCGATTTTTACTGACACGATGCCGTCATAGATTTTTTCCTGAAAAGTAGACAAGATAATCATTATAATAATCTGGTTGCGGCATATTCTAGAGTTCTCTTATGTTTTTCTTTTTCAGCAACTTTTCGTCTAGCTTGATTATATTCATAGTGCAGCATAACAAGTATTAGCTATAAATTTCTATGCCAATTAATGCTTGCTACAAATGCACAAAGAGAACTTTCTGCTGACTTTTTCAATACCAGCTGTAGCATATTACATTCCAAAATTACAAACATTTTAAAAATTGTGGGTCGAAAAGGCATAGAAACACAGAAACGAAATTAATTTTACAAATGCTAATTAATTTATTTGCCACATAGTATTAGTGAAGTATTAAAATTGAATCCCACGTGAGCGAAGCCGCTAATAAAAAGCTAGTATTTTATGAATTTTATAAGTCCAGTATAATTAACAACATTCCAATTTGCATTTTAAAAAAATTAATTTCAACTCGCAACAAAATTAAAAATAAACAAACATAGTAGAATAACAAATAAATGCCGTGGAAATTTGTATTCACGTCATCTACATTTTTATTATACGCAATAAACTATTAGCTGGGATCAAGGAAAATAAAAGTATAATAAAACACGACTCATAAATCATGTACTGAAATCCAGTACGTGAGTAATAAACGAAAACACTTAAGACGTATTATGATATTCAATTTTTAATTTTTTTTTCGCAGTTATTCAGCTTATAAATATGGGGTGCAATTGTCCTTGCCCTTTAAGCATAAATATCATGAAAGTTAATTTTAAAGTTAGATTTTATGTACATTTTACTTCATAGTAAGTTTAATAAAGAGAAGGTAAATTGATCTTAATTACTTCAAATAAAAAAGAAGGCAAAATATGCGATGTCGCCTGTAAGGAATAAGATGGAATGCCCACGGCTTTTAATTATATTATCTCTCTATGCAACACAATAATGCACACACTGCTGTTAGGTGGCTGAAATAGATAAGAATATGCTATATGACCACGGACTCCTAGCTAGAAATGTAGTCCTACTGCTTTAGTATAAATATATTAAAAATACTAAAATAGTGTTTTACAAATGATTAAAAAATTATATGTGTTATTTACCTCTTAAATTGACTGCATTTGCAATTGAGAATTCGGAGACGGAACTGACAGTGGGTGCTTGTTCGTTTATGGGCTGAGGTGCTACTGTTTCCAGTGGTCCTACGACTCCCACTTGCTGAGACGTTAATGGATCTTCATAATCTGGTCTACGATCGTAATAGTCTTCATTTGTGAGCTCGTTGTCATCGTTATCGTAACCTAATAGAAATAATTATGTCACTGATCGTCAATTAAGTAACATTTAAATCAAAGATAATACTAGGTCTTTAATTGCTGTTTTTTATGAAATGAGCTAACGTGATTAAACTTTTTTCTATATTTTTTATTTCTATTCACCAAAGTCATCACCTATGCCATCGATGCTTCTTTGCCAACATAGTGGCAGTTTGTTGATGACCTTCTTGAAAAAATCAGCTGGACTGGAGGCAACATCTCGGAGGCAATTCTTCAAAGGCATTTTGTACTACCTCTCGGGTATTAAATTTTTTTCCCATCAATAATTTATCCAAATTCAGGAAAAAGTAAGTCTTTTGGTGCAAGGTCTGGTAAGTACGGCAGATAACACAGAGCTTTCAACCCTAGCTGTTGTAACTTGGAGACCATCTGTTGTCCAGTATGAGGTCGTGTGTAGTCATTCAGGAGCAGCGAAGACGATCGATTGACCAAAGCTGGTTGTAGCCGTGCCAGATTCTGCATCATTGTGTTCAGTTCTTCACAGTACTCATCTACAGTAATTCTCATCCAATTTGGTAAAAAGCTGTGATGAATCACACCGGCGCTAGACCACCAAACAGTGTGACCATTACTTTTCTCGGGATAAGTTTTTGTTTAGGGCATTATTTAGGTGCTGAACTAGGATCCAACCAACTTGCTGAGCGGTTGCGATTGCAAGTAACAATGTGGTTCAAAATTCCTTCGTTTGTGTGCCTGTTGAGTAGTGCAAGGTATGACGTGGGGCACCCATTTGTCAAGCTTTTTTACCTTTGCCAATTTAAAGCAAATAGACCAATACTATTTTGAATTTATCGTCGAAAGATGCTGCTAATTCAGCTATAGATTGAGTATCGTTAACTTTTACAATCCCTTTAATTCATTGTCAACCAAAGTTTTCGGACGGCCAAGGGGTTCATTTTTCAGGTCAAAACTTTCAGAATGAAAACGAGCAAATCAATAGCAAGTGGTGCGTTCGCTTGTAGTATTCGCTCCGTAAACAATGATTAATGCCGTGTTGCTGCCTCCACGGTACCCATATTCCAAAATTACTCAAATTTTTAACGTGTTTATGATGACAAAAAATATTCAACTGCGATGCGAGCATAACGCCAGTCAATAAATAGAACTGAAATTTCATAGGTAAAGAGCTATGATTTATTTAAAATATTAAATATTGTAGACTACTGTAGACGTAGACTTTCGCTCATTTTGCAAAAAAAAAAAATACTTTGATTGTTAGTTCAGCAGTTTTTATAAGATTTCAAATGCTATTATTTTATACACACACTGGATGATTTTTTCAATGTCTGGAAAAAATAGGGTGTAACAGGTGAACGGAATAAAAGCCATTGATATTTTACTTTTTTTATTTTACATTGAAATATTATGAAATTGGTCTATCAATGAATACTACTATCCAATTAGTATGTTTTATTTTAATTTCGATAGTTTTTAATTGATTTATTTATTTAGTTTAAAATTTTTGTTATTTTTTTAGTACCGAAAGTTTATTTCAAATTAGTAGTATTTACTGATATATCTATTTTATTCAGATTCGTAATATGATATTTAAAAATTAAAAAAATGTAGGCATCGATATTTTATTTATTATATTATCATTCCGTTGGCCTGTCACAACCTATATTTTTTCAGACGGTAAAAAAATCACCCAGTATACCGGTGTATTAAAAAATATACGCAACACAAGGTTTAGGCAATTGAACAAATATTTCGGTTAAGACACATTTAGCCATCATTATCAAAATGAAATAACAAAACTCAAACAATACCCACTATTATTTTAGCAAAACTTAATGTTATCAAAAGCTAATATGAAATAAGTTTTATTTAATGTCCGGCTTAAATAACACAAATCTAAAAAGATAGATTACGCTACGAGTTCGAGTAACGTAAGGGTAATAAAACAGGTCAAATTAACCAACAACTGAACTATTAGTTTTTAAGTCTGCATTATTATTAATCGTCATTAACGACACACTTCTACGAACAAACCTTCTTCTGCTAACTTCTGCTTCAACTAACTGACTCTTCGATTTTGTACATTAGACAATAAACTGGAAAGCTTTAGCGCTATAATTGGCTATTCATAAATTAACTGAATGTATCAATAACATATGTGTTCGGTTTTGTAAAACAATTAAATAAATACTTTAGTACTTACTTGAAAGGTAGCTGTCTTCCTTTAGCACTTCGACGGGATCAATTGGGGCATACCAAGGTCTCCTTGAATACACTTTTTTCCTGCTCACGGTCCGTTGCTTATCATCAACGTTCCGATCACTTGACGGAGACAGGTTTAACATCGCTAATCATCTGTTGAGTCCTGCAGCAATTACATCATGCATTGAATAAAAAACACCATACCACATTCTAAAATTCTGTTCTGAAATATTACAGAATATCCAAAGGTATCTTAATACTACGCACAGAATAGCCACTCTCCGCCCCTCTTACGTACACTACGTTTACGTGTTCGAAAAAGAGAAGATACGGTAACTAGCCACAAGCTAAGCTAAGCTTTTGATCGAATAACACATAAAATTATTCATGTGTTCATTCGACATAGGTTTCAATTTCAATGTATATAGTATATATATATATATATATATATATATATATATCGGAGATCTATATATATATAGAGGGAGGTCCATATTGAGTGTCATATCATGTTGGTTAGCATTGAAGATATATCGAGAAACCTCCACTCGTTTGTGCAGTATTAAGTTCACTGTGGGCGTCGTGCGCGCGAGATTTCGCCTAAGTTATTCTACGGGTGTGACAGTATCGTGGTTCCGTCAGTTCAAGGAGAATGGTGTTGAAGAGAGCCTGCTCTGTGTTACAATGAGACGGGTAGTTTTGATGTTGCCGTGCATACTTTGGTGTTATCATATGATTACATCACTCATGGGACATATTACGGTATGGTTGAATTGTAATTGTTCTATACTCAATGTATAGTACGTTGTTTTATTGCTGATATTGATTAATTGCATAATCAGAAAGGCCAGTTGAACATCCCGCTCACAATATTGTTATTTTTAACAATAAAAATGACAATAACAGCAGGCTTGCCACCACTCCCCCTCCAGCCCTTACTGCCTTACCTGCTTTCATGCTTTTCATTGCTTTCATTATTTCATCTACACTCATCTCCATACCCTTTTCCACTTCTTTCAGAATTTATAGTTCATTTAATTCAGACGACTCCTTCACTCATAAACACGCTTTCAAAGTATTCTTTCCATCTCTTTAAATTCGAAACTTCGACACTCAGAATACATCCGTCTTTATCTCGTATAGCATTAATTCTAGGCTGTATTGTATTTCTCCTGGCAGTTCTTACGAGTTTCCAGAACATTTTAATATTAGCCTGGAAGGTATCAGATATCGTTCTATCATTTTTATTCGTTCTTTCTTGATTTTCATCTCAACCACTTCTTTTAATCCCTTATTTAGACGTCTAAAATTTACCTTTTTTCTTTCAATCTCATCATTCATACCACCAGAATTACCAGATTTGGTTGCTAGTAAATTTAACCATGCTTTCTTCTTTTCTTCAACTTCCACCCGTATCTCATCATCCCACCACAACGTATTATTTTTCCTCTCATTTGTTCTCTTACTTACACCATATACTTTGGTTGCCAAACCTTTCTTAACATTAACCCACATAGTATTCAAGTCTAAATCATTCTTATACAACTCATTCAAACACAAAATATTTTCCCTCAGTCTATGGCTCTAGGCCATTTAATATTTTGTTTCATGTGGGATAAACGTAGTCTTGATTATATACACTTTATATATATATATATATATATAATATATATATATATATATATATATATATATATATATATATATATATATATATGGGGTACTTTATTTTCTTGAAGATCCCTAAGTCATAGGAAAAAAGCTCCTAGTGAAATGTACAGTGATGGGCAGCCTAGCATCCAGATGGTGTGTATGTTATCGTGAGTTTTGACGCGATGTGCGTTCGTGAAATTTGGCGGCTGGAATTAAGCTGAACAATTCCTGAGAGCACTTCACGTGGTAGGTGCGATAGAAGATGTTAAGGGGTGCAACATCTCTTTCCTGCGTCAGTGGATCGTGCCTCGATCAACGACGATTCGAGCCGCTCTGCGCTAGATGCGGTCAAGTGGAAAGAGCTGGCACTGGGGAGCCTCGGCCCAGAGATGGGAACAGTATTCCACGTGAGGCCGAAGCTATGCCTTGTAAAGTTGCAGGCGGTGTGCCTGCATGAAATATTGTTTCGCTCTGCTGAGCACACCAAGTTTTTTAGAGGCCGATTTCGCCTTCTCTTATAAGTGAAGTGATTCCGAAACTGGCTGAGCAACAAGGGGAGTGCTTTAAAACTGAAGAGATAAGACAAAGGGGTTCGTTTTAGCGGTTAACTTACGGTTGAATTACGCAGTAACTACACTTAGCATAACTTCCGTCTTCATCAGTCCGTTGAAGACATGAGCGTCTCCCCTAGTCGGATTCGTCGTCTCCTCTAGTATGGTTTGCATTAATAGGCGCACTTAGCATGTGGATTGACGATTGCAATTCCAGACCTCTCTCACCTTTGACTCTTCTGTCATCCAGCATAATCATATAAATTGACAAAGCATATAATACGAAAAATCGACCTCGGTAGTGCTGATGGTATTAGTCATCACAACATTCTCACTAAGCACATGTGAATTTAATGTTTTCAATTGGTAGCCGTGAAGCCATAGCATATTAGTTCTAGGGCTAAGTGCTCCCTGTAAATTTCACAGTACGCGAGCAATCCTGGTTCCATCCTCGCCGGCACCAATGAAATTAATTTCAATTTTAAGTGCCGATTTACCACGTCCTCAGCGGTAAAAGAAAACATCGTGAGGATACCTGAATGTATAAAAAATAAGATAATAAAATTCTTTGAAGACATGTGAAGTTTGCCGACACGCATTCGGGCGGCGCAGCGGACATTTCCTTGTCCTAAAAACCCTCTCTGAAATGAAAGGACTGTGCTCGGTGGGACATATAGGCTGTAACTTTAACTTTTAACTTTATTTAATACAGCAAAGAAAAACCTTTTACAATTTACTTAAATAATGCTTCATGTCAAGAAAATATAAAATTGGCCCTTTTACTGAACTGGGTGTTTTTCGTATTACTGATATTTATTGAGCTTTCGGGTCTTCAAACACTCACTGTAAAACGAAAATAGAAAAGAAAACAGAAAAAAGAGAGAAATGTATTCTCAGTAAATTTATTTAACAAGATATAGTAGTAGACACTAATTCCTTTAACAATTTATATCCGAATCCTTAGCTCAACAAAAATAACATTAGATCATTAACCAAAATACCACCTTGGGAAATCAAAATTTTCCCTAATTCCTCCTTTGCTACATTTTCCTTCTTTCCTTTTGAAATTTGTTTTTTTGCCTTTGGTTTTTGCTACATACATTTGGATGATTTTGGTATTAAAAGTTTTAAGATTTAGATTTGTTCACAAATAAATTGCCTTAAAATTTTAAATACTTATTCAACGTCTTAGATATTTTAAATGTTTCTTTGAAGAATTACTCTTTAAAGAGACATCTAAAAGCCGGTAAAAGTTCACTGCTGACACGGTCATCTCTTGTTGTAAAGATGGCTTTTTTGTATTTTATTTGCCACTGGTTATTTTATATCGGACGTAAACGTGATATTTCTCTGGCGTTTTCTTTAATAATTGCCTCTTATTACACCCTCGGGTGCAATATAATATTGATGGCAAACATATATCAAATTAAATATCATCATCATCATCATCATCAAAAGCCTATCAAAAGATTGCTTAAGAGAACGGATATTTATACAGTCGCCATAAATATAGCCACAAAGTAGTTTGCCGTGTCGCTGTGTCTAATCGACTACACTTAATACTTTTATGAAGTAATAAATCTTTCATCTAAGTTGCCACTTACAAAAGTACATATTTTGCAGTCACGTTCGAGTTTGAGATATATCGGCTACTTGTGCTGGGTTAAAGTAAGTTCTCTACGCGTTTGGTGTAGGCAGGCATACCGTGCATTAGGAGCAGAGATAGGATTATCCCAGTGATTGTCTCGGTAAGCCAGCAAACGTCGATTCAGATCACTCTCACGTAAATTATGTTGAGTTGGTCACAACTTAGTCCTTTGAATACAGATAAATATATCTCTAAAAATGTCTTTATCTATACAAGTCGTACTTATCAGGTAAATTTGGGTAGTAGTATAAAATAGGACGGGTAGCAGCATATTCCTGATGACAGCTAATAATTATTTTTAACTGCTGTTGGAAGCCCACCTGCTGCTGCTAGGCATGGCATACTCATACTTACAACCAACCGTAATATAGTTCCAGCAAGGCCCTACTACGTAAAAACTCAAAATATAATTACATTTAAGTAAAGAAATTTATTCCTTTATATATATATTGCTAAACCTTTGACAGTGCTATTTATTTATTTTATTTATTTAATATATTATTACATTCATTAATTACACATTACGTTACGGTACAATCATAAGTTTACAGAAACATTACCGTGATGCCGGTATCACCGACAATACCAAATATGAGGGTGTTAAAAAAGAAATACACTTAGTATTTATTAGTATATTGCGTAACCTTCTATTGCATAATGCACCGCGCATGGATCCTATATTTTATATAGGGCGCTTGTTTTAGGGCGTTATCGTAGTATTTATTATTAAAAACATATTATGTATAATTTAAATTATTAGTAATGCATTCCATAAAGTAATTTCTTAATTTTAATTGAATATTTTTTTATTTAGTTCTGATTTTACTGATACTGGTAGCTGGCTAATTAGGTTAGGAATCATATATTATAAGGTACGTTTACCATATAAATTATTGTATTTAGGTAAGGCTAGTTTAGATTTTCCTGAGTTGTGAGTTTTAGAGTATTCATGTGTATCTGCAATTTTTAACTGTTCATGGAAAAATTCTTCTATAAGAAGGGTAAACTTTACATTTTCGTGTACAGGTATAATTTTGCAATGACTAAAAAGGTTGTGGTAATCTGATTCTTTATACTGGATTTACTACTATCCAGGACTATAGTTGTTAAAATACGTAACTGTAGTAGATAAATACGTTCTAAATGTGATCTGTACGTTCTACCATAGCTAGACAAACCATATGCTACTTTTGACTCTACCAGTGATTTATATAGCTGTATAAGTATTTTATACAAAATTTTATATTTAATTATAGAAAATTTTGCAAGCGTACCACGAATTTTATCACAT